CGTACAGAAAAGCCCCTAGGCTTGAGATGGCCTAAGAATGCCATCTTAGTTTGTCTGATGACAGGACAATAAATTTTATTGGGTTGGACAAAGGCATCCTTTTGGAAGCCCAGTGATGGGGCTAAGGGCTGAGCCTTCTCTAAGCAGTGTACAGAATCAGCACATTGCCCACAATAATCTGGGTCCTCATTTTACCCACCTAGGAAAGGTCAGAATCAAGCCGGTCAGAATCGAACTCCTGGCTGTGGGCAGAGTTAGTCTGCAATACTGCATTCTAACCACTGCGTCACCATGGCTCCTTCCTTCCTTCTCTCCCTCCCTCCCTCTCTCCCTACTTTCTCCATTCACAATAGCCCTTAGACTTACCCTGTTTCCCCGAAAATAAGACCCAACCGGAAAATAAGCCCTAGCATGATTTTTCAGGATGCTCGTAATATAAATCCTACCCCAAAAATAAGCCCCAGTTAAAATCATCAGCAGACGGAGGCGTTTAGTACTGTATTTTCCCCAAAATAAGACCCAACCAGAAAACAAGCCCTAGCATGATTTTTCAGGATGTTTGTAATATAAATCCTACCCCCAAAATAAGCCCCAGTTAAGATCGTCAGCAGACAGACGTGTGGTATTGTATTTCCTCCAAAATAAGACCTAACTGGAAAATAAGCCATAATTCATCTTTTGGAGCAAAAATTAATATAAGACTCGGTCTTATTTTGGGTGGAAAATACGGTATATACCGCTTCATAGTGTTTTATAGCCCTCTTTAAGCGGTTTTCACAGCCTATCACCTCCCAACAATCTGGGTACCTCACTTTACTGACCTTGGAAAGAGGGAAGTCTGAGTCAACCTTGAGCCAGTCAGGATCGAACTGCTGGCAGTGAGCAGTGAGCTAGCCTGCAATACTGCATTCTAACCACTGCGCCACCACAGCTCCGTCGTACATGCTTCATCTCTCCTGGCCTGTTTCCTTGGGGTTCAAAGACACAGGCTCGCTAATCATCTCCCTTCCCTGCTTATCCTCATCCTTAATCCTCATCCTCACCAGAGGTGGTATTCAGCCGGTTCGGGCCAGTTTGCCCAAACCGGTAGCGGAAATCTCAAGTGGGCCCGCTCACTCGCCCTGGCGCTATGCCGTTCTATTTAGGCACATTTTGAAGCTGCGCACATGCATGCAAGCCACGCACACGAGCAAAGCACGTGCATGGAAGTCCACACAAATATGAAGAGGTGGTGCATGCAAGCATAGAGAGTACATGCGCACGAACCGGTAGGGAAAGGAAGTAAACGCCACCTCTGATCCTCACATCTCTATTGCCGCTTCTGATTTCTATAAAACAAACGTTGCGTCGCCCAATATATGTGTGTGTGTGTGTACATAGAGAGAGAGAGAGAGTTTAAATTTTGGAGGATTACCAGCAGCCGAAAAAAGAGTAGCCCATAAACTTTGGATCAGGTTAGCGCGAATGCAGCGCCAGTAAACATTTTCAATTCACCCTAAGCTATGGGAAAAAATCAGCAACGTTGTGTAAGTTCCAACTTCCATAAATCTCCTTGACTTCTGTGGACAGGATTCCTGTTGGAAGCGGCTGACAACTTCGTGTTGTTTAGACTGCCTTAATTATGAACACATTTGCTGAACTCCCCAAATCAGCTATTCTGATTGGAGTCGAGAATAATTGGTTCCATTCTGCTTTAATCCGAACCAGCTCCCAAAAATCAGACTCTTTAAGGATCCTGTCTTCACCGGGAGTTTTAAGAGGCTTTTTTGTCTTTCGTGAAAAACGTGGGAAACGGGAAACGGTTCAAGCGATCCGTTGGAAGCCAAATCCAGACTTTTCGGCCCCCTCGCCAAACTACGATACAGGAAGTCCTCGACGTTTTGACCGTTCTTTTAGTGACGATGCAAAGTTACAATGGCACTTGAAAGAATAAAAATCAACCTAGAAAGGACAGGTTATCCTTCCACTGACGACCACAATTTAGCCCCAAAATTTTATGTCGCGAAGCGAGACATTTGTGAAATAAGTTTTGCCCCATTTTACGATCTTTCTTGCCACGATTGTTAAGTGAATCACTGCAGTGGATAAGTTAGTGACCCGGCTGTTAAGTGAATCTGCCTTCCCCATTGACTTTATTTATTTTTATTTATTATTTATTTTATTATTCGTATTTCTATGCCGCCCACTCTCCGAAGACTCTGGGTGGCTTACAACAAAGACAGTATACTAAATAGCATATTGCCCCCAACAATCTGGGTCCTCACTTTGCTTGTCAGAAGGTCGCAAATGTTGGTCACATGACCCCAGGACACTGTGACCATCATAAATATGAGTCAGTTTCCAAGCATCTGAATTTTGATGACATGACCCCCCCGGGATGCTGCAATGGTCATAAATGTGGACCAGTTGCCAAGCATCTGGATTTTGATCACACGATCATGGGGATGCTGCAAAGATCGTAACTGTAAGTCACTTTTTTCAGTGCCGTCGTAACTTCGAATGGCCACTAAATGAACTGTTGTAAGTCGAGAACTACCATACTTCCACATCGGGTGCTGCTAAGTCACATAAAAACAGAAGGAAGCAGCTGTTGGCTTTGTCAGATGGAATTGCGATCGGAAATGAATGTTTTGATCAGTGAAAATTTCTAGAACAGACGTGTCAAACTCGATTTCATTGAGGGCCGCATCAGGGCTTTGTTTGATCTCGGGAGCGCTGGGATGGGCATGGCCAGGGTGGGTGTGGCCAGCTTGACGTCACTCGTGTCACGGGCGCCTGCTTGGGCTTAGATAATGGCCCACAGAATTCAAGGGGGATTAGATTTAAATCTGCTTGTGACTATGTAGGAATTCTAAGCTGCTGCCTCTTTTAACTCCTCCCACAGTTTCTGCTGTTCCTCCTCTTATAATCTAGAGCAGGAGTGTGAAGCTCAATTTCATTGAGGGCCGCATCAGGGTTGTGTTTGACCTCAGGGGGCCGGGGTGGGCGTGGCCAGGGTGGGCATGGCCAGCTTGACCAGAGTGCCTGTGGCGGCCTGAGTGCTCTGCCAGCAGAAACGGGCGCCCGAGCTCCATTTTCGTCTGCGACATCCTCCTGCCAGTGAAAATGGAGCTCGGGAGGGCCGCATGCGTTGCTTCCAGGGCGGCCCTGCGGACCAGATCTAAGCACCCCCAGGCTGGATTTGGCCCGCAGGCCTTGAGTTTGACACCCCTGTTCTAGAAGAACATACTAGTTGAATTTTTGTTCCCATTTGTCAAGGAAGAATGAGAAATAAACTTTCGGCCCAAGTGGGATGGCCATTTTCCCATTATCTTTTCTTTTTTTCTTTTTAAGTCCCTGTGCACACCAATGCAGTAACTTGTCATCACTGCCCTGCATCTTTACTTTCATTTTTTTCCACATGAACTAGTAATTTTTTGGCCGATACAGATAGTCCTCGACTTACAACAGTTTGTTTAGTGACCGTTTGAAGTTGCAACGGCACTGAAACAAGCAACCTATGACCGTTTTTCATACAGACGCATCCCCATGGTCACGTGATCAAAATTTGGACGCTTAGCAACGGGCTCGTATTTATGGCGGTCGCAGTCTCCCAGGGGAGTCACGTGTTCTCCTTTTGTGACCTTCTGACAAGCAAAGTCCATGGGAAAGCCAGATCCACTTAACAACCGTGTTACTCACTTAACAGTGGCAGGGATTCACTGAACAAAGATGTCAAGAGAGGTCGTAAAATCGGGCAAAAATCACTTCACAAATGTTTCGCTTAGCAACAGAAATGTTGGGGCTCAGTTGTGGTCGTAACTCGAGGACTACCTGTACTTCTTGTTCGTCAACCCCACCTTCTGTTATTACCACTGGAAATGAAAATCGAGAAAATGAGAATGCTATGATTTCCATTCTTGGTTTACCTTGAGAAGGTACTACAATGTTGCCAAGCTTACAGGTTGTCCTCAAATTATGACCACCATAGGCCCCAAAATTTCAGTCGCTAAGCCAGACGGTGGTGAGGGAGTTTTGTCCCATTTTTACGACCTCACAGTCATCGTGAAGTGAATCCCCACTATTGTTAAGTTAGTAAGACGGTTGTTAAATGGGATTTGGCTTCTCCACGGACTTTGCTTGACAGAAGATCGCAAAAGCGGATCACGGCAAGCTTAACAGTGGAAATTTCAGGCTCAATTGTAGTTGTAAGTCAAGGATGACCTGTATTACCGCATAACAAGCCATTCTGTTTCATACCCACGGGGGAAAATATTGATCTGAAGTAGTAAAATTTCCGTAGGAGCTGTTCTTACCTAGGCTTCCCCAAACCACGAAGCAGACTCCTTATCCCGACAAAAAACCCTTTTTATTAAGTTACTGTGAATTCCTCTCATTCACATCCAGCAAAGTCTTTCAAAGGAGAATTTCCAGTCACGGACCTTATCTGGCTTGGAGAACTGCCAGGCCGATATCTTCAAAACTTGGCAAGGAGTCTCGGAGAGTCATGAACCAATTAAGTGAACGAATTGTCTCCTACAAACTCCCCTCCCCTTTCACTCCTCTTTGATTCCCTATGGGAGCGGCCATTCATCGTCCACCTGTGGCTTTACTCCTGAGTTGACCCTTGTTCTTTAGCTGTTCCCTTCGTCTGACAACTCTGTGCATGCGAACACTGGGAACAGGCTCCAGCTGTTTGTCTGCCCCACTGATGTCTGACTCCGAAGGCAACTGATAACTGGCATACGGCCCTGGCTCCCTCTCTGCCTCCGATGCAGAGCCTTCGTCAGAGCCTTCCCCAGACTCCAAGACTGGTCCATGTTCCTCCCCAACCTCCTCACTATCCGAATCTGCTTCCAGCTCCTCTGGCCGCTGGCGGGCCACAACAGGAGCAAAACAGCCCCAAACAGCAAATCATCACTCAATCTTTGCTTGCAACATGTAAATGGCCTGTGAGTCTTGCTCTCAAATATTTAATTGTCTTCCCCAGCTAAACTTCCCTTTCCTTTTCCCCCTTCCAGAGGGCTGCCCCGGGTTGTGTAACGGCAACGGTAGATGCACTCTGGACATGAACGGGTGGCACTGTGTCTGCCAGCTGGGCTGGAGAGGGACAGGCTGTGATACGTCCATGGAGACGGCGTGCGGAGATGCAAAAGACAACGATGGAGGTAAGCTTCGTCTTGCTAACCGGGTTTATTCATCGCCAATCTTCATTTTGCACGTATAGAAATGAGCACGAGAAAGAAACCGAGTCCCAGGTTTGAAACCAAACAGGACACCCCTTTGGGATGTCCTCTCTGAACATTTCAAAGTTGGGTTGGACTAAAAGCCAGTTCAAAATTGGCTTTTTTTTTTCTTCCTGCGATTCAGGATATTATGGATTTATGTCATAAAGGGTAAGATTCCTGCAGGCTGCTGTGAAACTGGTACAGTTTTCTCTCTGGATAAAATACTTCTGTTCCAATAAAAGAGAATATTTTTAGCTCAGGGTTGAACTGTGGGGTCCTTGGTGCTCTCTGAGCTTGGCTGTTTTCTTGTAGACGTTTCATGACCCAACTAGGTAACTTCATCAGTGTTAGAAGGAAATGGGGTAGGAGGAGGAAGAGGAGAATTCTGGGGTACTTGGTGCTTTCTGAGCTTGGTTGTTTTCTTGCAGATGTTTCATTACCCAGCTAGGTAACAGCATCAGTGCTAGAAGGGAGTGAGGTTGGAGGAGGACTTTAGGGTCATTAATGCTCTCTGAGCTTGGTAGTTTTCTTGCAGAGGTTTAATTACCCAGCTAGGTAACATCATCAGTTCAAGAAGTGAGTGGGGTTGGAGGAGGAGGAGGACTTTAGGCTCCTTGGTGCTCCCTGAGCTTGGTAGTTTTCTTGCAGACATTTCATTACCCAGCTAGGTAACATCATCAGTGCTAGAAGGGAATGTGGTTCGAATAGGAGGAGGACTTTAGGGTCCTTTGAGCTCTCTGAGCTTGGTTGTTTTCTTGTAGACGTTTTATGGCCCAACTAGGTAACGTCATCAGTGCTACGTAAAAGGGAGTACGGTTTGCTCTCTGTTTATATACAAGCAGATTGCCATGTCACCAAGATTAGCACTAGAGAATTAAACAACACCCCAGTCAAAGAACCAGCAACTGAGACAAACAGTAAATAACAGCCTAATCAAGGAACCACCAAAAACTGGTCCAACCAACATTGACAGGGCAAGCCACATTGACATAAACCCACGTTGCCGATTACCCACAATTTACTTCGTTGCAAAGAGATCTCTCATACTTGCTAGATTAAAAATAAAAGAGATATCCCGAAGGTAGCTTATATATATATATATTCCATAGATGTCACAACAATAGAACTCAGGATGCTACCACACAACCCATTACCCAGATCGTTAAAACACAAAAGACTAATGGGCACACAGCTAGGACCTCGCCCACACAGGATGTTGCGAAACAGCCGACTAATCTGCAAACATCAACTCCATCAACTAATCAAGATGTAACAACACAGCCAACCAACCCGCTTACAACAACAAAGCCAGCACTCCACACCTCCCCACCAGTATTTATAGAGAGACGGCATCTCCGATCACGCTTTCCTCGCACAAGCACGAAGCCGAAGACACCAGCCTGAAGACGACGAGTGGGACCTCGTAGAAATGTCACCAAGATACTCTCAATCTTATACAGGAAAAGACCTGAATGAGAAATTTGTTCCAGTGAGTTTTGCCCCATTTTGCAAACCTTACTTGCCACCGTTGTTAAGCGGATCACTGATGTTGTTCCAGTAGTGGCCCAAATTGTGGAAACCTTTTGGGAAAAGTGTATTTTTGAGGTTTGATGGCTAATAACACCACTTTTTTTTTTTTTGGAGTTTCAGGATAATCCTATTCCACTGCTGGAATGGCCTGGGAATAGCCCAGACCTTCACCCAGTGGAAAATCTATGGAATTTCTGATTAAAGAAACTGGTTAGTCAGAAGCAACCCAGCAATAAAACCCAGTTAATAGAAGCCATCATTCCATCTTGGTTTCACATTATTAGAACAGCGGCGGAACTAAAAGACTTGGTTCACTCCATGGGAAGACATTGTAAGGCCATCATTCATGCTAAAGGTTACCCAACTAAGTATTCACTGACATGGGTTTTTTTGTAGATCTCGTTTTTTCTACGTGTTTCCCTTTTCTTCTTTATACTGTCACTGCTATTCTAATAGCAAATCCTTCATAAAAGTTATGGCATGACATTCTTGATTAAATTATCTTTCCATTGATATATAATCTTAGGGTACTACTCCCCCCCCAAAGTGGTGCTATTAGCTAGTTTTAGAAAATACACTTTTCCCAAAAGGTTTCCACGATTTTGGCCACCACTGTAAGATAGTTACACAGTCATTCAGTGAATCAGGCTTCACATGGAGTTTGCTCGTCAGAAGGCTGCAAAAGGGGAATCACATGACCTCAAGGCCACTCCAACCGTCATAAATGTGAGTCCGTTGTCAAGCCTCTGAATATAAATTACCTCACCACAGGGATGGCTGGAACGGTCATTAAAGTGTTTAAAACGGTCCTAAGTCACTTTCTTTTCTTCATTGCCGTCGTAACGTCGAAACAACAGTCACTAAACGAACAGTTGTAAGTCAAGGACTATCTGAAGCCTGGATTCCCGTCAGCCGAAGTCCCTTCTCCGTTCCTGAGCCCTGCGGGCACCGCCAAGACTGCATGATTTTTGGAGAAAGGAAACAAGATAAATCCCAGTCGGAGCTTATCTATATCAAGAGGATTTAAAAATGGGGTGGCTTTTTTTCCTAAAATGTACAAATGATTGAATGCTTTAAGTTAGTCCGGTGTGGTAACAAATCCAGATTGTTTCCTTTGGGAAAAAGATTTTGAAGGGGGGGGAGTTGAGACAGGAACCCACAGAAATAACCCGCTGCCCCTTTTGATAAACCCCCCACCCCCAGGCTGCAAAAAACAACAATTTCTCGTGAAATTAAATATCCCCCTCCTCAGTTCTATTGACAGCCGGCTCAAGGCCATCGTTCTCATCCAGATGTGTCAGGAATACAGATTTAGAGCTGTCCTCTGTACTTCTGTTGAACTGGCCAGGAAATGACCACATTTAGTGTGATTTTTCTGGAGGGCCCCCCTCAGAAAAGAAACTTTCTCCTCCTTTAAAAAAAAAAGAAAGAAAAAGGCATTATTTAAAGTGGTCCATTGTTCCTTGACAATCTCTTACATGTGTCTAGAAAAAAACCTGGGATACTTCAGAAGTTGTGGGAGCTTCATCACTGGAGGCTTTCAAGAAGAGACTGGATCTCCTGCTTCGGCGGTGTCCAACTCTGTCAATCTGTATCTGTTTAACTTTGGGACCCATCCAGACAAGAGATTCTTTCAAGCAGCTAATTTTTTTTTTTAATTTGATTTATATGCCGCCCTTCTCCGGAGACTCAGGGCGGCTTACAATGCGTTAAGCAATAGCCTTCATACTTTTGTATATTTATACAAAGTCAGCTTATTGCCCCCACAATCTGGGTCCTCATTTAACCTACCTTAGAAAGGATGGAAGGCTGAGTCAACCTTGAGCCTGGTGAGATTCGAACCTGCAGAAATTGCAGGCAGCTGTGTTAATAACAGGGTGCATTAAACCACTGTACTACCAAGGCTCCTGGCACCTTGGATTGAAGTTTATGAGTCACCCCCATGACAATCTTGGTTGGATTAAAAAAAAATGCCTCCTAATACAGGATAGTCCTCGATTTACGACCACAATTGAGTCGGATATTTCTGGAGCTAAGTGAGACCTTTGTTAAGTGAGTCCTAGGAAGGAGGCAACGACAAATCGCGTCTAAAAATCTGGCCAGGAATACTGTAGGAACTGATCCAGGCAATCTTCAGAAGTCAAGGCTGACTCAAAGGCACTAAATAAATAAATGCATCTGTACCAGGAGATATTGGTACAGGGATTATGAGCTGTAGTGGCGCAGTGGTTAGAATGCAGTATTGCAGGCTAACTCTGCTCACTGCCAGCTGTTCGATCCTGACTGGCTCAAGGTTGACTCAGCCTTCCATCCTTCTGAGGTGGTGTTCTGTCCCCCTTCCCCACACAGGCAAACACACAACCAGGCACACCTGCCAAGTTTTTATTAAGCAATCAGACTAGAAACCCTTGCAGATAAGAGTTTTGGCAGTAAACTGCGTAATGCCTGCCAAGTCAGTTTTCACTCACAGTCAGCAAAAGAGAGTTTATCCTCAGTCCAGTCCAGTAGCAAAAAGTAATCCATGAAGCAAGAGTTAGCCAAGGTCCAATCCAAATATGTACAAGCCAGATTCCAGGTAACGCGATGTGACTCTCAGGTTTTTAACTTTGACCGTCACAAAGCCTGAAGAGCAATCACACTCACTTTTATTCCTTGTGGGGTGTGGCTCTGTGACTCAGCTCAATCTCTGGCCCTCCCACGCCTCTTTCGTTGCTGCGCACGCTTCTCCCTCCTACGCTGCCTGGGATCAAGCCAGGATTCATCATCCTCGCTCCCTATCTGTTGTTGTTCTGATATGCTTTCCTCCTGGCATATCCCAGGCTGTTCCTCTTGGCCTTCGGATGGAACCTGAGGCATTGCCAGAGAGGAGGGTCCTGGAGAGGGAGGCCTTATCAGTTCCTCCCCATCACCTTCTGAGTCCTCTTCCTCTGTTAGGACAGGCTCAGGAGTCGGGGTCACAACAGGTGGGTAAAATGAGGACTCAGATTGTTGGGGGCAAGAGGCTGACTCTGTGAACTGCTTAGAGAGGGGCTGTAAAGCATTGTGAAGCAGTATATAAGACTAAGTGCTATTGGGAAGGAAGGAAGGAAGGAAGGAAGGAAGGAAGGAAGGAAGGAAGGAAGGAAAGAGCCATGGTGGCACAGTGGTTAGAATGCAATATTGCAGGCTAACTCTGCTCATTGCCAGCAGTTCAATCCTGACTGGCTCAAGGTTGACTCAGCCTTCCATCCTTCCAAGGTCGGTCAAATGAGGACCCAGATTGTTGAGGGCAAGATGCTGATATTTGTAAACCGCTTAGAGAAGGCTGGAAGGCACTGTGAAGCGGTATATACAGTGGTGGGCTGCTGCCGGTTCGGACCGGATTTGGACAAACCGGTAGTTCCGACAATCAGTTGGCCCCACCCACCCACCTGCCCCCGCCCTATCCTGTCCTATATTTCCTTCTTTCTGGCTCAGCTGATTCGCGTGGCACAGCTGATTTCCGTGCTTCCGCTGTTCTACTTACCGGTAAGTAGCCTTAGAAGATAAGCAGCTGAGCTTCAAACTGCTTCAAATTGTTCAAATTTTGAACACTGCACAGAAGCGCGTTAGGCACACGCGTGTGTGAAGCCCGCGTGCGCTCGCAAAGCGCACGCTCACAGAACCGTTGTTAAACCAGTTGCAGCCCACCACTGGGTATATAAGTCTTAAGAGCTGTTGCTGTTGCTTAAATTCCTTGGTAGTACAGGGGTTTAAGGCACCCTGTTATTAAGCTGGTTATTAAGACCAGCTGCCTGCGATTACTGCAGGGTTCGAATCTCGCCAAGGCTCAAGGTTGACTCAGCCTTCCATCCTTTCTAAGGTAGGTGAAATGAGGACCCAGTTTGTGGGGGCAATAAGCTGACTTTGTATAAATATACAAAAGGATGAAGGCTATTGCTGAGCACATTGTAAGCCGCCCTGAGTCTCCGGAGAAGGGCGGCATATAAATCAAATTAAAAAAAAAAAAAAATTCCCAGGTTACAGAGCTAAGTATTCCAGATGCCAGCTCTTTTACCCCACTGAGGCTCCTCTCCAACATGTCTTTGTCTCTTTGGTCCACAGATGGGTTAGTGGACTGCATGGACCCCGACTGCTGCTTTCAGTCTCTGTGCCGGACCAACACGCTCTGCTTGGGCTCTCCAGATCCCCTGGACATCATCCAGGAGACACAGGCCCCCATGTCCCAACAGAAGCTCTACTCTTTCTATGATCGGGTCAGGTTTCTCGTTGGCAAGGACAGCACCCATGTCATTCCGGGAGAGAATCCGTTCAGTGGAGGGTAAGTTAGTTTCCTTCCTTCCTTCCTTCCTTCCTTCCTTCCTTCCTTCCTTCCTTCCTTCCTTCCTTCCTTCCTTCCTACCTTTTCCTCTCTTCCCTCCTTTTTCTTTTTCTCTTTTCTTTTTCTGACTCTCTCTCCTTTCTTTCTTTCTTTCTTCTGACTCTCTCTCCTTTCTTTCTTTCTTTCTTCTTCGTTCTTTCTGTCTCTCCTTCCTTCTTTCCTTCTCTCCCTCCTTCCTTCCATCCTTCCTCTTTCCCTCCATCCCTTCTTCCTTCTTTCCTTCCTTCCACCTACCCTCCCTCTTTTTCTTTTTCTCCTTTCTTTCTCTTTCTGTCTCTGTCACTTTCTCTTCTTTCTTTCTTTCTATCTTTCTTTCTTCTTCGTTCTTTCTTTCTCTCCTTCCTTCTTCCCTTCTCTCCCTCCTTCCTTCCATCCTTCCTCTTTCCCTCCATCCCTTCTTCCTTCTTTCCTTCCTTCCACATATCCTCCCTCTGTTTCTTTTTCTCCTTTCTTTCTCTTTCTGTCTCTCACTTTCTCTTTCTTTCTTTCTTTCTCTCTTTCCTTCCTTCCTTCTTTCCTTCTCTCCATCCCTCCCTCCTTCCTTCCTTTTTTCCTTCATCCCTTCTTCCTTCTTTCCTTCCTTTCTCCCTGCCTCTCCCCTCTTTTTCTTTTACTCTTTTTTTCTTTCTGTCTGTCTCTTTCTCTCCTTTCTTTCTTTCTCTATCTCTCTCTTTCTTTCCTTCCATCTTTCCTTCTCTCCATCCCTTCCTCCTTCCTTCCTTCTTCTTTCCCTCCATCCCTTCTTTCCTTCCTCCCTTCCTCCCTCTTTTTCTTACTCTTTTCTTTCTCTGTCTCTGTCTCTTTCTCTCCTTTCTTTCTTTTTCTTTCTTTTTCCTTCCTTCCTTCCTCCCTTCCTAGAAAGAAATCTCAGAAGGTTTGGAGAAAGACATTTTCCCCCATGGTATTTCTGTCTGCAGTGTTTGGGGTTGTAGGTACCTGAATTTGCAAATATTGCCGTACACAGAGAGCGTTGTGGTACACCAATTACACTTCAGGTTCAACTTTAATAAGCTTTCCCCCCCCCAACTTGAAAATCAAAGGTTCAAAAGGAGTTTGTAGCCTGCGTATTATGATTTCATTAATGATTTCCCTCCCTGAAGAGTTTGTTGTAAATTCTGCACCATATACTCCAGCCATGTACTGGAGTTACCTTCTGTCCCTTATGCACAGCACAATTTAATATTATTATGCTGGAGTCTAATACTGATTGAATTCTCTGAGAGCAGTAATTTATGCAGCCAAAATGGCAAAAGCTACACATGAGAGAAAGAAAGAGGGAGAGGGAGGGAGGGAGGGGAGAGAGAAAGGGAGAGGAAGGGGGAGGGAGGAGAGAGGGAGGGAGAGAGAGAAAGAGGGAGAGGGAGGGAGGGAAGGAGAGAGAAAGAGGGAGGGAGGGAGAAGGAGGGAAGGAGGGAAAGAGGGAAGGGAGAGAGGGAAGGAGAGAGGGAGAGAGAGAGAGAAATTCAGAGTAACCATGGACTTTTGCAGAAAAGTGCAAAAGGAACAAAAAAACATAGGGTAGGACTGGATTAATTAAGCAAGAACAATGAAAGCAAACATACAAAGGCACCGATTGGTTCCCACTCTCCTAAAAGCCCAAAATAAGAGGAAAAAGAGATTGCACAGAATTGCAACCTGGTGAATTCTGGGAGTTGAAGTCCACCCATCTTAAGGTTGCAGAGGTCAACCAACACCAACATAAAGGATTACGTGGCCAGTCTAAAAAAAACCAACAACTCTGAAATGATTGGGAGCAGCCATCATTCTAGAGAAGAAAAGATTTTTCAGTATGGCGTCCACAGCTGTTAAGTCGAATCACTGCAGTTAAGTTGGGCACACTAACTTAGTTAAAGTGAATCTGGCTTCTCGGTTGCTTGTCAGAAAGTCGCAAAAGGGGATCATGTGACCCCGGGACACTGCAACCGTCATAAATATAAGTCAGTTGCCAGGTGTATGAATTTTGATCACGTGACTGTGGGGAGGCTGCAACGGTCGTCAGTGTGAAAAACGGTCTTAAGTCGCTTTTTTTGCGGTGGGGGGCCCGTTGTAACTTCAAACTGTCACTAAACGAACTGTTGAAAGTCTCCATACATGTTCTTCCTTCCGTTCCTCAAAGTCCTTCCTTCTGCCCTTTACAAATACTAAGTAAGTAAGTAAGTAAGTAAGAGTAAGGAAGAAGGAAGAAGGAAGGAAGGAAGGAAGGAGAAGGAAGGGGAAGGGAGAGAGAAAGGGAGGGAGGTAGGGAGAAAGAGAGAGAAAGGAAAAAGAGAGAAAGAAAGAAGGGAGGAGGGAGGGGAGAGAGGAAGGAAAGGAGGGAGAGAGAGAAAAAGAAAGGAGGGAGGGAGAGAGAGAGAAAGAAAGAAAGTGAGTGAGAGAATGAAAGAAAGAAAAAGGGAGGGGAGGGAGAGAGAAAGAAAGAAAAGAGAAAGAAGGAGGGAGAGAAAAGGAGGGAGAGAGAAAGAAAGAAAGGAGGGATGGAAGGAGGAAGAAAGAAAAGAAAGAAGAAAGAGAGGGAGAGAGAGAGAGAGAAAGGAAGGGGGAGGGACAAAGAGAGAGAAAGAAAAAAGGAGAGAAAGAAACAAGGGAGGAGGGAGGGAGGAGGAGGGAGGGAGAGGGGAGAGAGGAAGGAAAGGAGGGAGAGAGAATGAAAGGGAGAGAGAAAGAAAGAAAGTGAGAGAATGAAAGGAAAAAAAGAAAAGGGGAGGGGAGGGAGGGAGAAAGAAAGAAAGAAAAAGAAAGAGGGAGGGAGGGAGAGAAAAGGAGGGAGAGAGAAAGAAAGAATGAAGAAGCGAGGGAAAGAATGAAGGAAGGAGGGAGGGAGAGAGAAAGGAAGGAAGGGGGAGGGAGAGAAAAGGAGGGAGAGAGAAAAAAAAGAATGAAGAAGCGAGGGAAAGAATGAAGGAAGGAGGGAGAGAGAAAGGAAGGAAGGAAGGGGGAGGGAGGGAGAGAGAAAGAAAGAATGAGGGAGGGAGAAAAAGAGAAAGAAGAAGGGAAGGAGGGAGAGAGAGAGAGAGAAAGAAAAGAAAAGAAAAGAAAGAGATGACCAGCCTCAAGATGGATAGGTTCGCATTACCAATAAATGCTCTGCTTGGAAGAGTCCAAAGGCCACGTTAGGGACCTCCTCGTGAAGAAAATATCTCTTGGGTGGTTGCTAAGAGTCCACCTCCACTTAATGGCCTACAATCAATCACCCTTTTGCCCTCCGTGACCCTTTCCCACTCCGGAGGGGAAGACGAGAGTTCCGGGCATCTAATTTGGAGTCGAGTGCCGGAGCTCACGATGACAGACAGTTTAAACACGCTTGAAGACAACAAAGCTAAGGAGGAGAAGTAACCAGCCAGCAAATCCATCAGGGGATGCTCGGGTAGCCCAAGAGCTCCTGAGAGCAGCTCGTCCGAAGGATGCAGAAAAACATCCTTCGCGGGTGGAATTTGACTCCGTTTGTGGGGGTGCTTATTTCGAGGTGGACTCTCTGTCTAAGCCAACTCTATGACCGTCACCAAGGTATTTAAACTATACCTTTTGGGAAGGTTTTTTTAAATTAATTTAGATATCAAATTAATGATTTAGAAAAGATGAGGTCTTTTTACTAGCCATAGAGAGAATTTATGGGTGTCCATGATATTCTCTCTTTCTCTCTTTGTCCCCCCCTCTCTCTTTCTTTTTCTCCTTTTTCTTTCCCCCTCTCTCTGTTTTTCTCTGTTTTTCTCTGTGTGCTTTCCCTCTCTCTCTCTTTTCTCTCTTTTCTTTCTCTCTTTTTCTTTCTCCTTTCTCTCTGACTCTCTTTTTTCTCTTTGTCCCTCTGCTCCTTTCCTCCTCTCTCTCTTGTCTCTTTGTCTTTTTCTTTCTCCTTGCTCTGTCTCTGTTTCTTTCCCTCTCTCCCTTTGTGTCTCTCTCTCTGTGTTTTTCTCTGTGTGTTGCTTTCCCTCTCTCTCTCTTTTCTTTTTTCTTTCTCTCTTTTTCTTTTTCCTTTCTCTCTGTCTCTCTTTTCTCTCTCTCTCTGTTCCTTTCCTCCTGTCTCTCTCTTTTCTCTTTGTCTTTTTCTTTCTCCCTTTCTCTGTGTCCATTTCTTTCTCTCTCTCCCTCTGTGTCTCTCTCTGTGTGTTTTTTCTCTCTGTGTGTGTTGCTTTCCCCCCCTCTCTCTCTCCTTTCTCTTTTTTTCTTTCTCTCTTTTTCTTTTTCCTTTCTCTCTGTCTCTCTGTTTTTCTCTCTGACTCTCTGTTCCTTTCCTCCTCTCTCTCTTTTCTCTTTCTCTTTCTCTTTCTCCTTTCTCTGTCTCCGTTTCTTTCCCTCTCTCACTATTATTTTTTTCTCGGTGTGTGTCTCTCTGTTTCTCTCTCTCCCCCTCCATTTCTCCCTCTGTCTCTCTGTTCCTTTCTCTATTTCTCTTTCTCCTTTATGCCTGCCTGACCCCCCCCCCATACTTACACAACATTTAGGTGCCTTGTCAGCCCAATTTCACTTCAAAGGAGACAGTCACAGGCGGTTGGCTTACCTGAACTCCATCAGGAAATTGAAGGGCTTCAGCGCCCTTTCAAGATGATCTAATTTCTGAGCAAATAAAATAAATAAAATAGAAGTGCCATTTTTTCCCCACCTCACTGCCTTGCTCTTGACACCTTAACACAGATGTTCTACAGCAGGGCAGCTGCAGCACACTGCTAGCTTACACATAAGTGGTTGTCTACTAGGTCTTCCTAGAGCCAGGGGTGAAATGCTACTGGTTCGGGCCGGTTCACCCGAACTGGTAGTAAAAAATGCTACAGGTTCGTAAAAATGTAAAAAAAAAAAAAAAAGTTCTGATGATCAGCTGAGCAAAGCATGATTGTCGGAATTTTTTTTTTTTTTTTACTTTTTTAGCATTTTTTTACCACCGGTTCTCTAGTACCGGTAGTTAAAAAATGCCTAAAAAGTTAAAAAAAAAATGTTCCAACAATCAG